CTGAACCCACAGAACCGCAGGCCTGGGGAGGTGACGGGGCAGTGCTGGGCGGAGGGGGCTCAGGCCTCCAATTCCTGTCATTCCAAAGGTCCCATAAAAAGAGGCACACTCATTCTTCACTTCTCCCTGAAATCGGAGCCCTCCTCCTTCCTCCAATTGCACTGCGATTCCCCGGTGAGGACCCAGGGGGATTTCTGATGGCCTCTGCCCTGGGCAGCCCACGTTCTCCTGGAAGTTGGAAACAGTCAATGCGCAGAACCTCTGCAATAGTGAGGTGGGGGGCCTTGGTGCGACCGGGTGGGGCCAGGTGGGCCACGCTAGGGAGCTGATCACTTCTCCAGCCTTACTGGGTGGCACGGCCTCTGGCCCAGCCTGGCAAGGTGGGTGAAAGTGAGGCCTTTTCTAAAACACGTACTGGTCAATCCAGCCAATATGAGGCCGAGAAAGAACAGACCAGGGGAAGTCGGGGAGGGCGAGAGACGGAGCCCGCGGGGGAGAAGAGGCGGCTCTCACTGTCTTGGGGAGGAGTCTCAGGAGGACGGCACGGAGCAGGAGGAGGCCCTGTGTCAGCAGCTAAGGCCTCCTGTTCTCTCTGTTGGGTTCCGAGTCCTGCGCATCACTCAGTAAAGAGCCCGGCACCTGACAGATTGTGACTGGTTTACGGTGTGCTGGGCAGATCCGGCTGGTCCATAAATGTCTCTGGGCCAACTCCCTAGTGGTGGCACTCAACCGTGGCTGCACCTAGAATCACCTGAGGGATTCTTTATGAAAGGATGCCCTGGGGTCCCGTCCCTGAGAATTTAGTTCAATGTCAGGTAGGACCCCTGGGCAGCTTGTTTTAAAGCTCTCCTCGTGATTCTCATGGAGAGCACCTGAGAACCCACAGACCTAAAGACGACCCAGCATCCGTCACCTTGCAGTATTCTTAGGCTGGATCCCCACTGTGGACAGTCACACCGACAAGAGATTGTGCCTTAGTTTACCCATCTGTGAAGCTGACCCATTACCCTCAAACTACCAGTCCCAATGCCTTGCTGCTTCCAAGTGTGGTCCCTGGACCAGCTTCACCAGCATCAGCTGGGAACTTATTAGAAATGCAGACTCTCAGGCCCTGTCACATATACATTGCATCAGAATCTGCATTTTAACAAAGTCCCAAGACTGATTCTGAGCTGTGGGATGGGTGATAGGAGTCCAGAGACCCTGGGGTCCACGGCATCGTCACGGCCCATGAGGGCAGTGGTTCTAAGTTCCCTGAGAGGATTTGGTGGGTCTGGCTGGGAAGAACTGAAGGACCTCTGACCTCCCCCTAGACCCCATTCCTTACTCTGTGGGGCCTGCACCCCAGCTTGACGTCCCTCGGGCCTCTGCTGGAGAATAACAGAAGAAGTGGCCTCTCTCCCTCCTGTGTTGCCAGCTCCCACCACTGAGGGCCAGGCAGCAGGAGCAGGCGGCCAGGAAGGCCTGGGGACAAGACAGCTGCTGGGAGCGGAGCTCAGGGGCACTTCACAGCCTGGCCCCTTTGCAGCCAGCACACTAAGCTGCGTCTCAGAACTTGGGCGGAGACGTGGCCTCCAACCTGGCCACAGGAGGAGCATCTCAGAGGCTGCAGAACAGAACCAGGGCCTGGCTAGAGACACAGAGCCAAGTGGGCCTTGCGTGGCTGGAGCTGGGCATGGACCCCACGGGGAAGGGGAGGGCAGGGCGCTGGGCCCAGGTCTCCCTCTCTCTGCCAGGAGAGTTACCCAACCAGGTGTGGCAGAAACTCAACGGAAGCAGATGAGAGGCCCTCCCGTGGGTGTCAGGAGGGACGCAGGTGGGTGCTGAGCCTGCTCCTTGCTCTTCTTGGGCCTCTCTGGTCTGGGTGGTGAGTGACCCTGAACTTTGCTGCCCGGAAGTTCTGCCACATCCTGGGCTGCAGGACCAATCAGACAGCTGGGCTCCCTGCGGACGGGCCGCGTGTTCAGGGCGCAGCACAGACAGTGGCCTTCCCAAGACAGCAAGCCAGAGGTGGCCTAGGTGAAGCCTCTCGTCACACCCCTAAGGACTCCTCTGCAGCTCGAGGGAAAGCTGGGTTGTGGGTGGTGAAGGGGGTGAGTGGTGGCCTATAGGGTTGAGCCCCACGCTCTCCAGCCAGGCCCACGGCTACTGTCACACCATGGGGACAAGCCCTGAAGCTCAGAATGGGGGTCGTGTCTGCCTCCAGGGGTTCCCTTCTAGCTAGAACCACAGCTGTCCATGGGCCAATGGCCTGGGAGAAGAGAGGGGTAAGCTTCTTCCTCTTCTGACATCCATTTCCCCATGGCCACCAAGGCCTGCCAGCCCCAGGACACAGAGAGAAAGGAGCAGAGGGGGTCCCTGCCTTCCCGAGCTGGGAGGTGGGCAATGACAGCAGGGACCCTGCATCGCCGTGCTCCTGGGCTTCCCGGGAGGAGTCCCCGTCGCTCCCCACCGCACACCTCTAGGGGACAGGACTGCCTTTGGGCACTGCCCACCGAATCCTCCGCCTGACACAGGAAGACACTTAGGCTAGTCCGGTGACTACCTGGTGATAGGAGCCCAGAGTCAGGGGGTTACAGCAGGATCCCTGGCGATCCGTGCCCAAGTGCCACCTAAAGTGTGAGTATGAGTCACCCTGGCAAAGGGCCGGGTATCTGGGATTCGAGGGGCAGTGCATTTTAGTTGGTGGCGGGGGCAGGAATGGGGAAGGTGTCCCTTCGGATACAGATGGAGGTTCAGCCTGGCCGCAGGGTGGCAAGAGCAGAAGGTGGGAGTTACTGGTTCACCTCTGCCCCAGACACAAGGTGGCATCAGTAGGGTAGGCCTTTGTCACATGTCACTCATGACAGACCTATCACAGAGTTACAAGGTGAGGTGAAGCAGTTGGCAAGAACGAAGATGGGGGGTGGTGTGCTAAGGACTGCTTCATCCAGCGGCCAGGCCTGTGGATGTGTGAAAGGGAAAGGCCCAGATGGGTCACTTGTGCTCCTCCGGTGGCCCGATTCATCTCTAGCAGCCAGCAGGGCCAGACCACCAGGTGCAGCCCGAGGGGCGACTGCAAGGCGGGGCTCCCACTGCTGACCCCTGCCGACCGCGCAGCCTCAGCCAGGTCTGGGCTGGTCCCCTGTCGTCTGGTCAGTGCGTATCCCACYCAGGGAACGCCCAGCACAGTGACCCTATGAGAACCTATTAGCCGGGGGATGCGGATGGGACGTCAATGAGTGAAACGCAGCTTGACAGGTGCCTTTCCTGCTGGGATCCCTGGAGCCATCCTGAGCCAATGAGCAGATTTTGTGACTCACAGGGAAGTGGGTGCAGGGGTCACAGAGCCCCTTTGGTGGCTGAGAAGTCACAGGATTGATGCTCTGCTGGACATCTAGGGGCAAGGCCACTTTACCATGGATGGCTAAAACAGATGCCTGATCTTGGGCAGCCTCTGCAGCCAGACAGCGTCCCTGGGTACCCTGTGCCCTGGGACTGTCTGCCGCTGAGGTGGCTGGGTTACTTGGAGCTGGCAACCATGGTCTAGAACTCTTGCTTCACCCTGGCCCTTGTTTGAAAAAAAAAATAATCCCCAAGCCGAGTGCAAGGCCGAGCTTGTCCACGGCTCCTCCGTGCCTGGTGGTACATGGCGACAGGCCTCTCTGCCTGTCACCCTCCACACTCTCCCAGGACATTCCGGCCTGCGAGGAACATGCCCAATGTGCAAATCCCTCAGGTAATGCGGGAATTCATCACCAGGGGAGCGAGGGCGATCCAGGAATGGGAACCTGATCAGCCCTGGAGCTGGAGAGAGGAGCCCAGGCTGGCCAGGGAGGCTCAGGTTACAGTGCCCGGGGCACACGGGAGAGGAAGGACGGACAGCAGGCCTGGGGCTCGGCAGGCCGCAGGTGGATAGAAAGCAGTGACCTCCTCTTGCTTTTAGCGAAAAGACGGCAAATCATAAACCAGGTGGCTGAGACGAAGGTGGACGTGCTACCTTGTTTACACCTGTTGTCCAGGCGCAGCTGTGAATGGAGCCCCTTGGACTTCCAGACGAGTGGCAGTTTAGATGATCAATCTGTGGTCACCCGAGTGACCAATGACCTGCATATGGTCTCTTGGGTTCTGCAATCCTACGTCCACAATGTCTAGGTGACTGACTTTATTTGAACCAGCAGCTTGATTTATATCTCAACTAATCTCTAAAGTACAAAGTAGYAGGAGAGATGGCTTCTGCCCAGCCCTAGTGAGGCCACAATGCCACGATACCTGCCATTKATCCCCAATGCCACCAGTTCACCTACGGCCACCCACAACGAAAGAGCAGACAGATGTGAGACAAAGGGGTGCAGAGTTCAGTCTAAGTGCACAAGGCCACACCCGCCACACRTGCACTGCCATGACCATGGCTGGACCTGGTCTCCATGGAGGCAGGAGTGAGCAGGATTGGAGCTAAGCTGAAGGGATATCGAGTGGGAATGCACCAAGGACGAGGCAGTCTGGGGCTGCCAGGCTTTCCCTCAGCCCAGGACCTGCAGTGCGTCAGCAGACAGGCCATCTGCGTCCTGTCCCCCCAAGGCTCTGCTCAAACCCATCTCAGTCCCAGCTACAACAACTGCACAGCCACCACGCTCTGAGAGGCTGACCCTGGGGAGAGGAGAGAGGTCCACGGCAAGTTCACGTCTGCTCAGAYGTGCAGAGGTCAGAGCACAGAGCCAGCCGCCGTCTCCCTTATCATGAAAATAGAAAGCGGGAAATGCTGGTTGAACAAAAAGCACCTATAAAATTATATTGGTCCTTTGTAACCATGGAGCACTCACACAAACACACACAAAGCCGGCCGCTCATCCCTCGCCCCTGACTGCCTTCTGATTTTCTATAATTAATCAGGCAATGGAGGAAGGAACTCGGGACAAGTTCAAGTGTGGTCAGAACTTGCAGCCTCCTCTCTAGTAATAACCCACGGCGCGCGCGGAGGGGCAGGGGGCATGGKGTGGCAGCTGCTGGTGTCGGGTTACCTGGAGCATGTTGAGGAGCAGGCTGCGGAACTTGGTCCCTTCCACCATGAAGAGGGCCATCTTATCACAGAGCTTGGCGGCCGTGAAGGCGAAGCTGCGGTCCGACACGGCCTTCTGGTAGATGGTCCTCACTATCTCGCCCAGCATCTCCTCGGAGTTGGTGGAGTTCTGGGCTTCCTCCATGAAGGTGGTGAGCTTGGCGTCCACGTCGCTACTGTTGTTCCGCATGCTGTTCAGGATCTCGATCAGCTTGTCCATCTTGTTCTGCTGGGGGCTGGTGGTCTCCACGGCCACTTCATCCTGGGCATGTGGGAGGAAACCAAGCGTGGCTGAGCGCAGCAGAGGTTTCTGGGGGGTGCGGGTGGCCTGAGGGAGTGCGGGCTGTCATCCCAGAGGGGGGACTTGAGGTCCTTTGGGAATGCTTACCCACCAAGGGCCCGCATGCCCCAAATGCTCTTTGCTGATGTTTTTCTGGGCCTTGGTGACACCCTCATTGACACTGCGAGTTCTAGTTCCTACCCAGGATTCTCATATACATTGGGGTTTTGTCTGTCTGTCTGTTTGCCTATCAGAAAGGATTTAATGGGATCTATTTATTTATTTTCTGTGGTGCTGGGGATTGAACCCAAGGCCTTGTGCATGCGAGGCAAGCGCTCTACCAACTGAGCTCTACCTCCAGCCTTGATTTAATGGRATTTAAAAAGAAGGAATATGATAACACATCTTATCTGAACAAAACAGACGAGAGCAGAAGACCAGGCTGGGAAGGTGAGGAGGGTACAAAATGCCTGCAGGGGTGAGAGGTGGCCCCTGGTGGCCCTACGTCCTCCACACCCTTCTGTTCCCCATGCCCAGGGGTGGTTGTGTTCTCTGGGCACAGGGTTCCCTGTGGAATCCTCCCTGGCTTTATGTCCTATGGAACTGAGGGCTCTCTGCACACAGATGCTCCACACCCAGGAACCTTCTACAGTGTCACTAAAATGGCTAGAACAAAACCCCTCCCGCCCTTTGAGGTTTTACTGGCTGAGACCAGGCTAGGGGCTGGAAAGAAGGAAGATGGCATCTAGCTATCTCAAAAGTATGCACTCAGAACAGCAGATGGGTGGCCAAGAACGCAGGCGACTTCACTGCGGAGATGTGAAATCCAGTCCAGGGGCAGGATCGGGGCCACACTGCGATACCCCTCCTGCTTTTGCCCTGTTCTCAAGACACGCTTTTTCATGGGCCTGAGCCTGCACCCTCCTGAGGACAGGCCTCACCTGGGGCAAGTCCTGAAACTCATTTATGGGTGCTACAGAAGTGCCTGATCTGTTCCATTGTTCATGCACCGCCCCACCTTGACCACCTGGGCCCTCGGCAGGACCATGGTCTGCGTGTTGAATAACACCCACGAGGGACGTTACGTGTCTTATTTAATCTTCACAGTCTCTTTGCAAGTGGCGGGGGGCATATTATACCTAGTTTGCTCAGAGAGGTGGTTGACTGGCTTACGGTCACCCAGCCAGTCCAAAGCAGGGTGAGGACTGAGCCTGGATGCTAAAGCCCGAGCGGCGTCCCCGGTGCTGCTCTGCGCTCTGCTTGGCAGGCCTCCGGAGAACTCAGAATCCTCCCCCACGGCTCTAGAAGCCTGTCCTGGAAGCTCTCAGGGCAAAGCCACACGCCGGCCATCAGCTAGGAGGCTCAGCCAGGAGGCCCACTATGGGATGTCAGGAAATGAGGGAGGATTTCTTCTCAGCCTGTGGCCCTTGTCCCCACAGGAAGGAGGAGCAGGGCTGGGCACTTTGGGGTGGTGGTGGGGGACACAGTGTGCCACTTCAGCTTTAAGGGCTGATTTGGGAAGAGGGTGCCCTGCCTTATTCTGCCTGAGGGTGGAACTTGGACCTGGCTTCCGGGCAAAAGGAACCGGAGGAGGAGCCCAGTACATCTCGCTGTGGGGATGTCCCAGAAGGAGGACTCAGGAGGCTCTGCCCGCTGTGCGGGGATGGCTGTGGCCATCAGCCTTCCTCGGCGAGGGTTCCTCTCCCCGGCAACAGCGCCTGTGCCCTGGGTGAGTGTGAAGGGGCTGGGGCAGTGGTCGCTAGACCGGGCACAAGGGACATAATGCTACCACTGACAAGTCCCCATTCCTTTTCTGGTAGCTTGGTACTCTGTCCTCGGGTCATTCAGCGCAGGCTGGCACTAGTGTGATGCAGAGGCTGGGCCTCCTGGCTTTGCACCTTTGAGCCCTTGCAGGCTGCTGGGAGATGAAGTCGGGGAGGGCAGGGTGGAGGCCAGCCTTCTCCCACGCTGCCTGGCTCCTGGCAGGGACGGAGCCTGCGAGGGACTCACACTGGGGAGAAGCAGCCTTTCGTCTTATTGCCTAAGTTCCATGTGTCCCCAAATGTTCCTTAGCATGGTGGACTCTGACCCCCCAAAATGCTCCTGTGCCCCTCCCATCACCCCAGCACATGTCCCTCCCGCTCCTCCCCAATGCTAGCTGCACCTTTGGGGTGACCAGAAGCGGGGAGCCCAGGATGTGCTGAGGGGTTCCTGCAGAGCTGGCCATGGCTTGCCCTGTGGTGGCCCAGTGGCATCCACCCAGAAGCCCCCCCACCTAACTCCCTCTCCTCCCGCCAGAGCCCACCTACCAGAGCGCCTACCTCTCGCTGTCCTCCCTGGTGCAAGAGAACAACAAAAAGCCAATTACCGGTACCTTTTCCTTCAGCCTCCGCCGCAGCCTGTCTTTGGAAGACTGGAGCAGGGTGACTCTGGGCCGCTCCCCCGCGCGCTCAGGGGGGACACTGTCTTTGTGCTTGGTCTCGGCCTCTGGTCCCCCGGGAGGCTGTGGCGGCAGCCTCTCGGGAGCTGTTGGGGTGAGGGTGTCAGGGCTGCGGGGGGTTTCAAGGCCACTGTTCCTGGTGTCCCCTGGGGTGTCCTCAAGTTTGGGGCTCTCGATGGCCACGGTCTCTTTGGCGTTGCGGTGGGCTCCTGCCTCCCCCTTGTCCCCTGGAGGGTGCTTCATGCTGCTCTGGTACCAGCGCCGGTTCTGGCTGTAGCCGTGGTGGGTAGGCCTCCCTGAGGCGGGGGCCGCTGAGCCCCCCTGGTAGGATTTCTGGTGATCCCGGTTGTGTTTGGCACTGCCCGGCTGGTGGTCCCCGTGCTGTTGGGGCTTGTTCCCCCCGGGAGGTCTCTGCTGCCTTCTGCAAAGGGAAGGGGAAAGACAGAGAGGGGGGTCACCGGTGGGCCGGCCAGGGTCCCCGCATCTGAACACCAGAGGAGGAAGTCACRGCCTTGCTCCTTTATTCATTCTCTCAAAAAACAATTATTAAGAACCTCCGACCTACCAGGCTTTGCGACAGAACGGCCAGACAGGTGGCTGGCAGAGAGAGATTCGAGTTCCTCTTTCACTTAAAGTCCACATTTTATTCATTTAGTAGATGCACAAATACACAGGCACAGGGAACAAAACCTGAACGATCTAGTAGAAAACACGGTGAACCCTCCTGCTTCTGTCGCCAGCCACCTGCTGTATCCTCTGGTAGCAGGGTTTCCTGAAAAAACTCAGCTGTGGACCCCATCCACCACCTCCAGAATGTCACCACCTGGAGACAGGGCCTTTAAAGAGGGGATCAAGGGAAGATGAGGATGTCATCATGTATGACCGTGACCATGGGAAGTCACACTCCATGTATGTACAACATGCCAAAATATATTCTACTATCAAACAAATTACAACAAATAAAAATAAAATAAATATTTCTTAAAAAGTTCAGATGAGGATGTCACAGTGGGTCCTCATTCAACATGACTGACAGCCTTATAATGTGAGAAGATTTATTTTCTTCTCCTCCTGGTATTGGGGATTGAACCCAGGGCTGCTTTTCCACTGAGCTGTACCCCCAACTTTTTTGATTTATTTATTTTAAAAATTTGAGTCGAGGTCTCACTAAGTTGCTGAGGCTGTCCTAGAACTTGGGATCCTCCTGCCTCAGYCTCCAGGAGTAGCTGGGATTATAGGAGTGCTCCACCATGCCTGGCTAGTGAGAGGAAATCTGCACACACAGCTGGGGTGCTGCACACAGACATAGGACCCAGGGAGAAAATGGCACCTGCAGGCCAGAGAGAGAGGCCTCAGAAAAACCAGCCCGGCTGACACCTTGATCYGGGACTTCCAGCCTCCAGAACTGAGAGGAAATCAATATCTGCTGTCTTAGCCACCCCGTTGGTGGCACTTGGTCCCRGCAGCCCTAGCACACGAAGACATTTAACACGATGGTTTGGGGCAGACAGGCTCCCAGTTATTAGCAAGGCAAACCTGAGCTCTGCACCAGGATGAATGACAACCTTTTGATTTGTGGACAGGAAGCAAGTCAAAGGGTGAGTGGGGTTGGGGTGGGCATCCTCACGGCTTCCAGGCCCACACCTGACGCTGTGTCCTGCCACTCCCAGCACTCGTGTTCAATCTCAATGTCACCCCCAGGTTTTCCATGCCGTAGCGTCACCGGCAGTGCAGGTGGGGAACAAGATAGCCACACCCCTCAAAAGTCATGCAGTGGTGAGAAATTGGCAGAGAGACATCACCTTCTCCAAAATGAGTCTCCACCTCCTATGTGACCTGTCTAGCGTACCAGGGGCCTTCACTGCAATTGCACTTTATGAACCAACTTYCAAGTGATTGCTTATTACTTAAGCAAACTCACTTTCACTGCACTTGATATATTTTTATCTGTAAAAATTTTTTGGGGGGGTCTCTTGGGTTTGGATTAAATGCATTCTTTCTTTCTCACTAAAAAATTAATGAAAAAAATTTTCCATTGAAAAGCTTTCCACTTRGTAGCATGGCTTCATTTATTTATTTATTTGGTACTGGGGATTGCACTCAGGGGCACTTGACCACTGAGCCACACCCCCAGCCCTATTGGTATTTTATTTAGAGACAGGGTCTCACTGAGTTGCTTAGTGCCTTGCTGTGGCTGTTGAACTCGTGATCATCCTGTCTCAGCCTCCAGAGCCACTGGGATTMCAGGTGTGTGCCCCGCACCAGGCAGTGGCATGGTTTTAGATAAATTAAAATGGTCAAAGGAGGGACAGACATGTGACTTTTAGTTTCCACCCAAAAAGTAATTTATAGCACATTGTATATCAGGGGTAGAAATTAATATAATTTTTCGGCGGGAAATCTGACAATTCCAAAAGCCTCTAATAAATGCCCACCTTTGGACCTTGTTATTCCACATGTGGTAATGYATCCAAATAAAGTAATCAAAGATGTGCATAAGGATTTAGGCACAATGATATCCGTCACAGCCCAAACGGAACGTGGAGTAATTAAGGATGAAGCAAAATAGTTCACTCTTGCTGAGGGAAGTATGGGGTCCTTTAAGGCAAGTACTTATCTGCCTAGAAAAATCTGGAAGGATACACTCGAAAATGCTAATGGTGGCTATCTCTGGGAGATGGGATGTGGATTCTTCTTTTATTTATGTTTTCTAAATGAACATGATTTCATTTTCCGAAATTAAACTTTTTATTGCGAGGCAATTCGAGATGCACATGCATTGTAAGAAATAACGCACGGCTTGCCCACTTCCCCTCACGGTAGCATCTTCCACAACCATAGCACAATGTCACAAGCAGGACTTTGACAGCGAGACAGCCAGGATACAGACCACTCCTAGCACAGGGGTYCTCCGGGTGCCCTTTCGGAGCCACGCACCCCTCGCTCCCACCACCCCCATCCGTGGCCTTTGGCAACCACGAATCCATTCTCCACTTCTACACTCTGGAGAATGTGGTATAAATGGAATCAGATATTTCTGGGATTGGCTTTTTTCACTCTGCATAATTCCCTGGAGACCCACCCAGGTTGTTGCCTGGACCGGTTTCTATTTCTATTTCTCCGTTACTCGGTGGCGGTCCCTGGATGGACGCTTCGCCGTGTGCCTAACCATTCACCTGCAGAAGGACATCTGCAGAGCAGTTTGGTCCTCTGCACGGAGTCTGCATCTCCCTTGGATCAACGCCCAGCAGTGCCGCTGCTGGATCCTCTGGTGGTCACAAATCTAGTTTTTAAAGAAACCACCGTTTTCCACCTTCCCGCCAGCACCGCAGGAGGACTTCAGTCACAGGTCTGTGAGTGATGCTTGAGACGCACACTTTCTCCTGTTTGGGGGATTCCAATGGCATGGATGTCAGACTTTTTGTCACGGTCCCACAGGCCCCTGAAGCTCAGGTTGTTCCCTTCCAGTCCCTTTTCTCTGTCCCTAGTGCTGGGTGATTTCTTCTGTGACCTCTCTGGTTCATGGTTCTTTCTGTTTGTGCCCTTTCGTTGGACTTTTCATTGCACTCTGAAGCTTCCATTTGGTTTTTCTTGACATCTTCTACTTCTTTGCCAAGACCTGAGTTTTCATGTTTCAACGGGACTCCTAGGTGTTCTTTGGAGCGTTTTTGGTGATGACCGCTGTGACATCTTCGCTAGATAATTCTAACCTATCAGCTTGGTGTGGGCCTCTGTTAATCGTCTCTTTTCCATTCAACATAAGATCTTTCTGATTGGGGGTATGGCCAGCGATGTTCCATTGAGACCTGGACCACCGGGCACGATGATGAGACTCAACTGCCCTAGCTGGCCTCCTCCCATCTTGCTCTGCCTGGTCATTGTGCAGTGTGTGTGGGGGTGGTGGTGGTGATGGGAACTGCTTTGTCACTGCCCAGTGTCAGCAGAAGTCCACCTTCCCTAATGGGCCTTCTCTGGCACCCAAAGGGGGCTCCTCATCATTGCTGGGCAGGAATGGGGGTTCAACTCCCCACGAGGCCGCCAGACACGATCTCAGCATGGACGGGGAACCTCCTTTCTGCAGGGAGGGGTAGGAATTCTTGGCTCCCCAAGTGGCCTCCACTGGCACAGAGAGAGAGGTGCTTTCACCCCTCAAGATGGAAATTCCACTTGGTCTCTCTGATACCATCCTTCCATAAGTCTTTCCCGAGTGGTGGGTAGGGCCGCTGTTTCTTCTGGGGCTTCTGGCTGCAGAGTGGTTATTGCCTAGAGCGCTCCGTGCCCTGGCCTTTGGCTGGAGGGAGTCAGCTTTGGTTGGGGCTTCTTTGCTCATGCCTCCTGGTGTTTCTGGGTTTCTGGTTCCTTTAGATCCCAGTCTGGGATATATGAAGCCAAGAAGAAAATGGAAAGAACTCATCCTGGTGCTGTTCCTCAGGTCCCCAGGTCCCTGGCCTGTCTGCCTTCCAAACATCTTTCAGAGTCTTCTTATGTCTGTCCTTCCTTCTTTCCTATCTGTCCATCCATCCATCCATCCCTCCCTCCACCTCTATCTCTGCAGCAGTCATGAGGAACCCCTTTGGGTGTCAAAGAAGGCCCAGTGCAGAATGTGGACCTCTGCCCCCACTGGGCAGTAACAAGACAGTCCTCCTTGTCCCCAACCTCCCCACTGCATAATGACCAAGCAAAGAAGACTGGAAGAGGCCAGCTGAGACAAGTGGGCAGACTTCACCATTGTGCATGCGTGTATGTATATATATGTAGCGCTCGGGGTTTTTAGTGGTCTGTACCTACTCTAATAATCATTATAACAAGATCTACGCAGTCTGTTACACTGAACTGAATCCCACGACCAGGTGTCCTGGGCACCCTCAGGAGGCCTGTGTGGTATTTTCATCTTCGTCATCCACCTTCCAACTCACTGGGTTCTGGTGACATTCCCAGGCAAGCACCTCGCTGCCCTGACACTGGGGGTAGAAGAGGAAGCACCTCCATCCCCCCAAACCCTTCTGTGCTCCCTGACACACCTGAAATCTTCAGTCTCACTCCCCGGGTCTGATGGGATCAGGACCGTGAGCATGGCACCCGGGGAGAGCTGGGCCCCTGTTGGCAGAGAGGACCATGGAGGCCGGCTCCTCCCAGTGGCCTCTAGATTGCCCAGAGCTACAGTAATGCCCTTCAGCTCTGGGGGCCACTCCCTCCTTAGGGAGCATGAGGCACCCACCCTGAGAGAGCAGAAGCTCCAGGAGGGCGTGGATGTGGCTCAGAGGTAGAGCCCTTGCCTGGCTTGACGGACGGAGAGGTCCTGGGGTCATTCCCAGCACTGCCAAAAAAAAGGAACCCAGGGTCCACGCCGGTTCCGCAGGTGCCTTTGGTGAATTCATCCTCCTTTAATTTTTCAATTACTTTTAACTAACGGGCCCTTTC